GGAGAGGGATAGAGAATTAGAAACATCGATGAGAGAGAAACATTGATCAGCTGCCTCCTGGACACTCCCTACTGGGGATGTGCCTGCAATCAAGGTACATGCCCTTGACCGGAATCGAACCTGGGACCCTTCAGTCCACAGGCCGACGCTCTATCCACTGAGCCAAACCGGCCAGGGCCTATGAAGTTATAATAGATATTTTCTAATTATGGATTCCCTGATTCAGGACATATTTAACAGAAGCACTAGAAAGCAGCCCTGACAGGCTTTTTCCTTCTTCTTTCTTTTCTTCATTGGCCTAAAAACCTGACTCTAGCAATAGTGACAGTGAGATGGGCAGACGTTCCTCAGGTCATGGCCCTTATTCCAGCGGACTCCAAGCCCAACAACATTTACTAGGATTCTAATAATCAACCAACCAGTCTGGTATTTTTTTCTTGGTGGATTAACTTGACAATTCATTTAAAGCACACAAACTGGTTCAGTGTGTTACTCAGGCTGGGAGAAGTACATGGAGGCTCCTGAACTTTAGGGACGGATATGGAAAAGGAGTTGAGCCCTTTGGTCCACTTCTTGAGTGACTGTACCAGCACAACCCCACGTGAGTCCCCCAAGTCCTAGGCACAGAGGACAAGAACCCTCTACATTCCCGGATCATATTCATGAACAGGTCTTGTGAGATGCCAAGAAGAAAAAAGTATGTCAGAATCACAAAGACAACAGATACATACCTATTGGTATTCTAGATCAGATTAAACAAAAATCAGTGATAGGACCAGGAACTGAACAACTAAACCAGAATCCAGTCACTTGATTTAAGAATTAGATAGATAAGAGAGAGATTTTATAAACTATACTGCCAGCTGTTAAAAGTTATAATAAAATAGGCATGTAATGGGGTATTTAATGTTTGTTGCCTAATACTGGAAATAGTAACAAAAAGTATCTACCATGATTTGATAAAACATTAGATTTTGCAAGAGTCTCACTGATATCTATATTGTAGATGAGATAAAGGGGCAGAAGGATTAAGGCTGTTCAAATACATAGAGCTATCAAGAGGCAGAACTAATTTCCAAACCCAGACCTGACTTTTAACCTCATATTTTTTACCTTCATCGTTCTATTTCTCAAGACTGGGCAAAGTGGCAAAATAGGAAGGCTTTAGTATTTTAATCCATCTTTGAAGATTCATATTAACTCTAACTAATTGGTTTTTCTCCAAATTTCATATTCTGTTTGGAATAAAATTGATTATTCCAGATGCTTTGATGGAAGAATCTCTGTAAAACAATCATCAAGGGAGGAGAAATTAGGGAGAAAGCATGTGAAATTTAGTAGATCTACTACCTGTTATGTATTTGGTTCATCTTTTTTTAAAAAAAATATATTTTATTGGTTTTTTTACAGAGAGGAAGGGAGAGGGATAGAGAGTAAGAAACATCGACCAGCTGCCTCCTGCACAGCCCCTACTGGGAATGTGCCTGCAACCAAGGTACATGCCCTTGGCCGGAATCAAACCGGGACCTTTCAGTCCGCAGGCCGATGCTCTATCCACTGAGCCAAACCGGCTAGGGCTATTTGGTTCATCTTTATTGGAATCTTCTGTCAATTGTGTACAAAAAGGGAAAATTAAGAAAATTATTGAAGAAGGTGGTGTCATTGTAATTCAGAGTGATTTGTTCTAGCCTTACGCTCTTATACTGGCTGTGGAGAAATAGTGAGGCCAGGGTATGGTAGGCTGAGGTGTAACAAGACTCATTATTAGAAACTTTGAAAAACAAAGTGCAAATTATAGCAAGATATATGTCACCACAAAAGAGCAGTCATTTTAGGAGATTCAGAGGATTTTGCGTAATGTTCATGGAAGAGTCTTGGTAATGTAGGGTTCATTCAGCATATTGACAACCATGTCAATGCAACAGATGGTCCTCTCTTCCTCTTTTAAATTGTGACTTTCTTGGTACTTGGAAAAAATATAGACAAAAGATCCTACACTTTTTTGGTTTTGCATCTCCACTAGTCTTCATGTACTTTGCATAGAGGAACAGGAAAAGTAAGATCAATTTAGAAGACAAAAGAATGACATCTTACATGAATTGCTGCTAATTTGGAAGAAGAGAATAAACACAAGATAATGACATGGAAATTAAAACTCTCCTCTTTCCTTCAACAGAAGAAAATACTATTTTCTCCTTAGTCTTCTAGTAGTTTGGGATGGGAGTGCTAATTCATCAGTAAAATGATAATTAGACTTAATTATCTGCTACTTTGCCTTTTAGTCACAATAGAGGTAGAATATACACAAGAATTAACTGCATCAGTTGCAAGAACAAATTATCTTTCAAAATTTTTCTTTCTTATATCCAATGTTTACACCAAATACTTGATATATTTTTGTATGCAACCCAGAATACATAAAGGAAACTTTAGTTTCACTCATGAAGTAGAAATCCTGATAATGCAGGATTTTGAAATTCATTTAACGCAGTTGTATATTGCTATAAGCGTGCTCTGGTTTTCTCTCAGTTATTAAAGGACATTCCAAACTTTGTCCTCATCCTACATAGACATATAGAAGATGTGTAAATGAGCTTTATTTTCAGCCACTTTGGATGGGTAATAATGGTAAGTTATTCTCAATTGAAAGGAATCATCATTTTATATCCTTGATCTTGAATGGAAATGTTAGATTTTGCATTGATTATGGAGACTATGAAAGTGACTTTACTCATTGAAGTATGGAAGATGATGAAATATATCATTGTAGTTTTGTGTTACAGAAGAAAAGTACTTGGTATCCTAAGCAACTTGCAATGTTGTAAGGTAGACCCCAAAGATATGGTGTAAAATAAAGGGGAGGATGGCAAAGCAGAAATTCTCTGAAAATAAAGAGATCATTTTTATTTTGGGGGCAACCCAGCAGCTGGTAAGTGATACCTTGTTTTTATGTGTTATCCCTACCACCTCAGGTCAGTTCTTTCTGCAGACTCTGCAAGTACCACCATGCGAGGGAATTCCACACTGCTATCATTTCAAGGATGGTTGTTCTAAAACCAATGGAAAAGAGATGTGTTTGCAGCCGTAACTACCCAGTTCTCTTTTACAGAAACCAACCTTAACCACTCATGAAACAAGTGTAATGAAGCTCCTTAAATTTACCAGATGCCATTTACTTCCTTGCACCAAGTAAGGAAATACAGATCAAATGGGGACCATTTCTTAGGTGATATGTACCATGTTAAAAATTATGTTCATTAAGTTGTGAGGAAGTATGCAAATGCATGTGTATAATCCCAACCCAAATAATAAATGAATATATGGAAAGAGGTGACAACTAATTTAGATCTAAATTCTGCAATATCAGTTCACAGACAATGGTGTACCTGATAATTTCTTCGAGTTAATTTTTTTTAAGCTTGGAATGAAATAATTATTTAAAACATCTGTACGTCTTATTTTTATGTTTTGATAGAACCACCTCATTTGCCACATAATTTGGAAACCAAATTAGAACTGAGGCTATAAACTCAAATAGTAAACTGGGCTGGGTCAAATGATGTGACTATAATATTTCATAATGATGGAGCATCCTAGTAAATATAATAATTGAAAGTTTTCTTCCAACCTGCCAAACTTCTGGAAATCAAAATTATCAACACGTATCAGGTGATAATCAGTCATTTTACCTGAAAATAAGGAGAGACGTGAATCTTCAGAAATGTCAATTGACCAAACCAGTATGTGCAGAAATTAACTTTTTTTTATTATATATCATATAATGTAGTAGTAAAGTTTGTTTGAAGTGCATGAATAAAAAGTTAGTGAAATTACAGGAGGAACAATCTATATAGCAATAATAGGTGCATTCCCTGTGCATCTGAAAGAAAGAAAAAAAAAGAGTTTTCACTCATTTTGGCCTAAAACTTAGTGTTCAGGTTCCCAGGATTCTGACATCAGAACCCGGATAACACTGATTAGAACCATAGGGGCTTTACAATAAAAGCTAAAATATTGACCATATGATGGCAAAAAGTCTTAGTTTGTGGTTAACTGATTCTCTTCTAGCTACTCTCTGATGAAGTTGGTGGCGCTGTGGAGGAGGACCGCCGCCTCCTGGACGAGGACCGGGACCGTTCGGCATTGTAGGTGACATGCTTGTCGTAGTTCTCCATCTGAGCCTCAATGAAGTCTCTCTGCTGCTGTCTGATGGTCTGGCTGATGAGCCCGGGGAGGGCATGGATGCTACCAATCAAAGTCTCTAATTTCGTTTCCAGGGTAACAATCCTCTTCTCGAAGTCTTCACTCCTTTCGTTTAAGTCAGAAATCATGTCATACATGATATTCTGGGTCTGGAAAACAGGATTGAGAGGAATAGAAAAACAAAGAACTAAGTCTTAATTACACGGGTCCTGGAAGAAATGGTCAATTCTCAGGGCTTGAGGGCTGGTCTCCTTTTGGGGACAATCAGTGCAACAGGGGTGGAGCGTCAGTTAACTGGGCACCTCACTAGTACCTTGCAAAGAAAATTTCAGGGTATGTGTGTGTTCGATGCCAGGACTTAGAATTGTAATATCTTAGGCATTAATTAGATCCAGCCCCTGAGAATACTGTAGGTGGTATGTCCAATGATTTCTGGTGTACAGATAGACAAACATGTTTTAATATTTATATATATAGTTTAATGATTATACAAATGTTAGTGCACTGCACTCATTTTGTAATGTGTAATAGTAATCAGGGAAAGGTTAATTTTTAAAAACAGGAGATTTTAGAAAAATAAATAATAGTATGGATAGTATTAGGATGTAGCACAAATTCAATGGGTGGAAAACAAAGTTTAAAACAAACTGACTTGATTGTGTAATTTAGGAACTTAAAGCTGTAAAAAACTTGTTAATTTCTTTTGCTGTCCCATGTTTCAAATTATGGCTCTGTGGGTTAAAGAGCATTTTTACAGATAATCAATGAGAGAATAAAAAGTTGACGATACTGAAGTTACCAGGCTACCTTGTTGGCTATGGTTTAATCAGATGCTAAATGGTTTGAAATGGAAGATGTTTTGGGTATCCTAGTGAATTTTGCAATTGATTGTCTTGATCAAAGGCTGTTCATGTCTCTGACTCCCAGTTATATTTCCAGAAGTATCCCAGAGGCTCTCAGGGATGATTGACATAGAGCTAGAGAGGGGAGAGGGTGGCCAGGAAGGGAAGACTGGAGATGTAAGCCTTAGGTCCATTAAGTTTTCCCCAAGTCACAATCCCCTTTCTCTGAGCCTTCCTTCTTTTACCTCATTTCCCCTTGCAATGTGTGCTCGTGTGCTCTTTTCCTGATATTTCCAGAAGTATCCCAGAGGCTCTCAGGGATGATTGACATAGAGCTAGAGAGGGGAGAGGGTGGCCAGGAAGGGAAGACTGGAGATGTAAGCCTTAGGTCCATTAAGTTTTCCCCAAGTCACAATCCCCTTTCTCTGAGCCTTCCTTCTTTTACCTCATTTCCCCTTGCAATGTGTGCTCGTGTGCTCTTTTCCTGTAGATAAATGGACTGACTATTTAAGGAAGTTACTATTCAGAACAGACAGCTAGTTTGAGTTGGGCAATGGAGACAGAACGCATTAACTTTTTTTTTTTTTTACTATGTAGTATTGAGACTGTGAACAATATCCATTCATCCAGAAAATATTGAACCCTTGTGGCATAGACAGTGCTGCAGTCATAATAATAAACATGGCACCAAAGAATTAAACAGTATTCTTTATATATCACAAATATTATATCGTAAGTAAAATGATATATAT